TCGGGTCTGCGCGCCCTCCGGGCCGGGCCGGACCGGGCTGGGCACTCGGGGGCTCGGGGCACGGCCGGCCCCAACCAGCCTCGTCTGCGCACCGGCCGGCGGGCCTTTGTGCAGGCGGGGCTGCCGGGCTGGCGCTTTTGTGTGGCTTTTTCCTTCTCCTTTTTGCTCTTCTCTGTCCCCTCCTCTCAGTTGTGGCCTCATGATCGCCACCCCGCACCAGCGGTCGGGGGAGGCGGGGGCTGCGGTGGTACCCAGACGCGCCTGGTTACTTTGCCAGACGTGGACGGTCGCGGTTGAGGTGGGGACGCCCCGTGGAAAGGTCACCTGGCCCGAGAGGCCTGCAGGCGGGACTTGGAGGAGCTGCGCTGCGCTGAGGGCTCCGGGGCGGAGAGGGGTCGCTGCCCCAGCCGACCTGGGGCTGTTTCGGACCTGTGGCGCCCTGGCTAGGGAAGGGACAGCAAGACAAGACCCTCTAGTTTGGGGTTCTCCAGAATGAGAAATGCTCACTTTACCAAGACGGCTCAAGCATCTGCCAGAATCCTGGCACCCGATCCCAATGCAGAACTGATGTGGAAGAGAGCAGGCGAGGCTGCTGCAAAGCGCTTGCTTTTGTCTTTGGAAGTTTTAGCTTGAAACTTAAGGAGGAGAGAGAAGTGGTTCCTAAAACCATCCATGAAGCTCAAAGCGTCTTTTCTCTGAGGAGCAAAATGTGTGGTCAGAAGTCTTTTGTGTGTTTCTTTGATCACGAGCTAAGCCGCTGGGCTCCCAGAAACCCTTTTCAGCCAAGCATCTTCGTCCCTGGCTGATTCCGCACACTTGGCAGCAAAGCCAACCTCCCCGAGTGAGATTTCCCAGAATTAGAATGTTGCCTCTGTTCGCCGAGCAGAGATTCGAAGCAGTCTGACTTGGTCTTAGGAGTGAAGTGGAGCTTCTTGCATTTGACAGTAAGGACCCAACCACTTAAGTGCCAGACCTGATACTGATTGCCTTTATTCAGGAGAGTCCCAGGGCTCACCAAGCCCATGTAGCCACGGCGACAGGGCCAATTACAGACCTGTGGATGGCCTTTGTATTCACGAGAGGCTTCTGTGTATGTTTCCTGATTGAGGAGTCACAGTTTGGCACTATAGGGACATTTTGATGCTAAATATAAGATCCAAATGAAGAAGATGGGCTTATGGCCTACGGAAATTGTTTTTTACTCTTTAGCTTATAGTATACATTAGTAAATGCTATAGTGTACGTTCAGTAAATGTTGGCCTGAGAAGTTGTGTATGGCACTGTGTTTTTGTTAATTGAATTCTATTTATTCTCATGTACAGAAGCTGGACTAATCTCTGCAAGATTGAAAGCTCATTCTCTAATTAAAATGTGTGCATCAGCTGTATTTTTCCATATTGCATTTTCTTGATGATGATAAGAAAAGTGTCTGAATGTAGTCTCAGCTTCCCTGAACATGACGCCTAGTGCTTAGGGAGCGCGCTGAGCAGATGAGGTTTGTGAGCCCCAGGGGACCGAACGAAGTGTTGAGTGAGTCAGGGAGAGGAGCCTTCTGTGGGTAGACAGCCGCTTGTGATCCAGCTGGGGCAGGACAGGAGTCTGTAGACCGAGAAGACGTAGGTCGCCTGGTCCCCATGATAGCGGGAGGGGAAGCTCTGTGGTGGTGATACTTAGGGGAAATGTATGTTTTGCTTGATGTGCTGGACCCCTCCCACTGCTCCCATTTCTGCAGGTCGCGGGGCTTGCGTGTCTGTTCCACACTCACAGGTCTCGTATAGTACAGGACGCATACGTTTTTAACCTTTTTTGTCTGTTGTCATTTTTGTCTCTCCTTCACCCTTTGAAGGAAACAGAATGAGTATTATTAGTATCATCGGTATTTAGTCTGAGCACTGTTAGCTCTGTGTTGTTGTAAGGAAACTGAGCTTTAGTGATTTGCCAGTGGTTGAGCCTGAACTCGAAGCCTAGTTTTAAATCTTCACTTCCTGCTCTTTCTGCCTGGGATAGGAGGACATGCTTGGGTAATAAATACAAGCGTACCTTCGTTTGTTTGCATCATCAAGTTGAGACCAAAGCTTGGGGGTTCACTGTGTAGCACTGAGCTGTGACCTGCAAGGAGGGAAAAGCATGTTTCTGGTCGTTTCCAGAGTAACTATCTTGACCCGGCCTGCTCGCCCACATCCCTGTCAGGAGGGGTGCGTTTCTCCGGGGGACCACACTTTTAGTTTTTCCCTATGTGCTTACTGCCTTCTGTCTCCTTTCACTGTGACGGAACCTACTGCTGGAAAGATCGCCTGTCATCCCTGCTCTTTAATTTATAGTAAAGGATGGCTGCAGCCCAGGTCTAAGAGCCAGCCTGACAGACCAGGGACAGCTGTCAGTAGTACAGTGAGTCAGGAGTGTGGTACTTTAATGCCACATGCGACAGTTGGGCTAATAAAGCCACAGTCTTGATAAGCTCAGCTTTGCACAAATGAAATAGTATTGGCAAGGACAGCCTCAGGGATTAAAAGCAGAGAAGACAATGGCAAATGGATCACTGAGGAGCAAGAAAGGCACAAAATGGAAAAATTATTAACACATCAGCCAGCAAGGAGCAGGATCCTTCTTTCCTTTATCAATCAAAGGACCGCTAATTGGATTTTAAAAGGTGAGGTGGTAATTGGGAAGCGAGATGACCCACAGCTCCGAGACTTACTGCTTATAACTTCATCTGTGTACATGTGTGAAATTAACTCTGAAACCTAAAATATAGCAAAACAGGGATGTACAAGTTACTGCTATTATTGAAATGACACATTGAATAGGTAACCATAATCGCCCAGGTGCTGAACAAAATATACAATTAGATAAGGATAGGTCATGGAAGGACATCAATAATAGCCTTCCAATACAAAAGAAAAACTCTGAGCATTATTTTT